ATGTGAGGGTAGTCTAGTCTTTACACAAATACATGTATATATATATACTGTAACCCTATTTCAGAATCAATGAGAATGACTATTGTCTTCATGGTATCAGAGCTAGGGTTCGGCATCAAACTGTGTTTCTAGATTTTCTTCCTCTGCTTCAATTCTTTTTCTCCAGTGTCATGGATACTAATCCTGTTCTTTCTAGTACTTCTCCCACTCCTATTTCGTCGAGTCCTCCTATTTCTATTTCTCCCAGTACTCCTACTTTCCCACTCAGATCTCTTCCTTCTGTTACCAGTCCTGCCGTCTCCACCATGCCTTCCTCTATAAGTCCTCATCCAGTTTTTACTATTTCAAATATTAAAAACTTTGTTTCGGAAACCTTGAACCATGACAATTTTGTTATTTGGCGTGAGTTAATGATTCCTGTTTTCAAAAGCAAGGGTGTTTATGGGCATATTGATGGCTCCGATCCTTGTCCTATGCCAGGGAGTCGTGAGTTTGCGGATTGGACCCAGATTGATTATCAAATCCTATCATGGATTCAAGCAACCATATCTTCAGAAGTATTGCAGATGATTATACAGCCAGGAAGATCTTTGAATGCCAAACAAGCCTGGGATGCTATCCATCTTGCCTATCAAAATCAATTGGAAGCACAAAATCTCTTTCTCCAACAAGAATTCTCCTCCATTCGAAAGCAGCCGGGTCAAACAATGATGGCTTATCTGCAACATGTGAAAGGTATAGTAGATAAATTATATGGAATTGGGTCTCCGAAAACAGATCGAGATCTGGTTTTTCAAACTCTCGCCGGTCTTGATTCCGCCTACAGTGTTGCTAAGCGGACAATACCTCAACGGGTTCCTTTTCCGTCATTCTTGGAGATGCGAGCTTTGTTGTTAATTGAAGAGGCTAGTGTCCAACGCGAACAAGCTGCTGCTGCTTCTTTGTTGCCGGGCGTCACCAGTTCTCATCAGGTGCTACACACTGCTATTCCAATCTCTAACCAAGCACCACCGTCACGTTATTCTCCTTCCCCAGTTCATGTTGCTGATATTCAAACCAATTCCAATTTTGTTGGTTCTTCACGAGGGTATGGTAGAATCATTCCACGAGGAGGACGGCGTGGTTCTCGTGGTGGTCGTGCTGGACGTGGATTCTATAACTCACGAGGAAATTTTCAGCATTTCAATACTGGTTATGGTCGTGGACCTCTTAATAATTATGGTGGTTATGCTAGTGCTCGGATGGCTCAACCGAATTTGAGTTTGCCTCCATTACTGCCCACACCGCCGATTGGTTCACCTCTTGTCTCCTGTGAATGGTGTGGCCAACCCAGTCATCAAGCCAGAGAATGCTCACTGCTCTCTCGGACACTTCCTCATTCCCATCCAACCTTCTTTGCTGCACCATCCTATCCACCATCTGTTTCTGACTCAAATTGGCACATTGACAGTGGTTCAGTTACACATGTCACTGGCAGTACTGGTACTCTTTTATCCTCTTTTCCTTATTGTGGTAATGATTCCATACAAGTTGGTAATGGTCAGTTACTTCCTATTACTTCCTCTGGTAGTACAGTACTCTCTTTTTCTGATAATTCCTTTAAACTTAATAATGTTCTTGTCTCTCCCTCTATTACAAAAAATTTAGCTTCTGTTCGTCAATTTACCAAAGATAATGATTGTAGTATTGAGTTTGATTCTTTTGGTTTTTCTGTTAAGGACAACAAGACGAAGAACGTTCTTTATCGTTGCAATAGTCGAGAAGGATTATATTCTTGGTCCAGTCTTCCTTCTAGTCAGCAGTCTGTGTTATCTACTACTACAGTGTCTCCGGATGTGTGGCATCTTCGTCTTGGACATCCAGGGTCAGAGTCTTTAGCTCAACTTGTCAAGCGTGGCTTAATTTCCTCCCATAAGAAGACCTTTTCATCTACCTCTTGTCATGCTTGTCAATTAGGCAAGCATGTGCGTCTTCCTTTTTTTGAATCTATGTCTGTTGCTTTGGCTCCATTTGATTTAATACATTCAGTTATATGGACTTCTCCTGTTGAGTCTTTTACTGGTCTCAAATATTATTTATTATTTTTGGATGATTATAGTCACTATTTGTGGGTTTATCCCTTGCATTCTAAGTCTCAAGCTTTCCACTATTTTCTTCGTTTTTCTGCTTATGTCTCTACTCAGTTTGGTGCTCGAATTAAAGCTTTTCAATGTGACAATGGTCGTGAATTTGATAATTTAGATTTTGTTACATATTTTCAAACACATGGTATACATCTTCGATCTTCTTGTCCCTCAACTCCTCAACAAAATGGGAGAGCTGAGAGAATGAATAGAACCATTATGAATATGGTTCGCTCTTTATTATTTCAAGCAAATTTGCCTAGTCAATTTTGGGTGGAAGCACTTCATGTGGCTGTCCATCTCATTAATATTTTACCATCTTCTAGGCTACATTTTTCAACACCTCATGAGCTGTTATTTGGTTTGCCTCCAACGTATGATCATTTGAGAGCCTTTGGATGTGCCTGCTATCCAAATCTTGCTGCCACTGCTCCACATAAGTTGGCACCTCGTTCCACTTTGTGCATCTTTCTTGGTTATCCTCCACATCATAAAGGATACAAGTGCCTTGATTTGAGAACAAATAAAGTTATTGTCTCTCGGCATGTTGTATTTAATGAGGCTATTTTTCCTTACACTGCCTACTGTTCACAACCGGGGACCACCATGCTTCCTCCACCTAGCTTCCGATATCCTTTTCATTTATTAGATGAAATTCGACCTACCTCTAGGAACTTACCTCACACTCCGCCATTTACCTCCCGTCCGTCAAGCCCACCAACATCTAGACCACCTAACCCGCCACCTTCCTCAAGCCCACCTTCCTTAAGCCCACCTCCATCTAGTTCGCCACCTACCTCAAGCCCACCTGTGGCGGCTTCCTCTCTTAGAGAATTGCCCCCCACCATGTCCCCATCTGTGGCGGCTGCTCCTCCAAAATCTGATGTCTCTGTTTCTGATTCTATTATGCAGGAAACTGTTCCACATGGTGTTTCTTCTCAAAATCCTCGCAGAACTCATTCTATGGTGACCAGGTCTCAGGATGGCACAAGAAAGATTCGCACTCTCCCATCTATGCTTGTGACTGTATCTGATATTCAAGAACCTCGTACCTTCAAACAAGCCCAACAGTCTCCTCATTGGCGGCATGCTATGGAGGATGAGTATTCTGCTCTTATGCACAATCAAACTTGGGTTCTTATTCCGCGACCTCCAAATGTGAATGTTATTGGGTCGAAATGGGTGTACAAAATTAAAAGGCATGCTGATGGTTCCCTTGAAAGGTATAAAGCTCGACTCGTTGCTCAAGGTTATTCA